TTAAGATTAATTCATATTGAATTATGAAAATTATTACAAAACATTTTGTCTGTAATTGTTCATACATGTTTTTTTGTTAACAAATTATATTATTATATTAATAATAATTTCTTTCTTTTTATTGTTATTGTTATTAAAAATAACATGAAAAAAAGATATGACATATTCATACAAACAGATTATTCATATAATATAAATTACCTAATTTAATTTTTGATTCAATTATTAAGATTAATTCATATTATGAAAAATTATTACATAAAACATTTTCATAAAACATTCTCAAAAGAAAATTATTTTGGAAATGATTTTGCAAACAATTATTATTATTCTTTATTATTAGATTCCATTCAAAGTTTTTTCAATTATATACATTAAAAGTTAATTTCACATAAACATTCTCATTACTTACCATTATCATCATACGCATAAACGCACGCGTGTGTACATAAACCGAAACGAAAAGGAATAAATGAACATGGACAAGTTTCGTAACCGGTTACCGTTTCAAGGGTTAAACGGGCGAAGTAAATCATCGTCACGCGTTCACACGACCACGTGAACGTGCAGACGAGCGATATCGAGGTACATTGGCATCTGTCGATGACTCAGGATCGTTCCCTTTTCGAGAGACGCGTCTAGTGAACGGTTGTCGCGCATAACGCCTCGGGAAATCGTTATTCTTGCTAACGATGACTAATCGAGAATCGAGTTCGAGTATTCCTTCGATCTTTCCGTGCCACGCTTTTGCGCTTTGTATTACTCTGTCGGTATATAGTTCTATCTTCTATTTATTACCCTTCGGTCGTGAATACTTGACGACTGTACGTGTACAGATCGAAGAGAAAGGAGTATAAATAGGAAATTGGCAGGTCGAGAGTTTTCTCGAGGCTCGTTTAGGAAAGACTGTATAAGACTTGGTTCGAATCGAGGTTTCTCGTTTTCCGATGACTGGTCATGTTGGACGAGGAAAGTGGAAAATGAACTTGTTTAGACTCAGTTTTCGATTCAAGTTTTTTTAAATATTTAGAGATCGAAATTTGAAGCAAAAAATTTTCTATCATAATAATGGTTATTTGTAACTTTTTCATAATAAAAAGAAAATAAATTAATTAAAATAATTTTTTCATATTGAGGTTATGCAAATCTATGCGAGTATAAGATAGATTCTATTATTTATTTGATAGATAAATATTGATTATTAAGTATTATAAATTGTTCAGATTCTTTTTATATTCACACTTCGAGTGTTGTAAATTGCATGCATAAGAGTCACTTGAAATTGATACGTCGATTTATTTTAGCATTACTGTGTCTGTAAAAATATGGATATAATAGATTATGTAATTTTGAAGATTTTTTTTGATAAGATAAATAAATACTTTATTTTATATTAACATTCTAACGGGAAGAATAAAATAAAGAATTTTTTTTTATAATCTTTTATTATATTTTTATTAATTACTGGTATTTTTGAACAATCTTATTTATTAAGTGTACAACGAAGTATCGCTTGACATTTGCACGGAAATTAAAAATACGCGACGACCGGTCGATATTGCCTTTCGAAAATACATCCGTGAAGTTGGCGCTTCTTTCAAGTATCGACCGATAAAATTAATTGAATATGTCATTAACCATCACATAAAATTTTTCCATTTCATTGATTTAATGTGAAAAATTATACGTATTTATAATCTATTACTCGTCCTTTTATATCAGTTGTGAAGAAGTCTAAGTTAAAAGAGAAACGCGTGACTGAAAACTACCGATAGAGAATATGGCGATTTCACGATAACTTGCTTCCTAATTGTCGTGTTGAAAATGAATTATATTACAGTGTGTGAGCAGGATGGGAAACATTAGGTAAACTTCGTCTTGAGACACCGAAAATTATTTACTTTTTTCCAAGTTATTTTAAGTCATTAAATTTCAAATATATAAATTTTATCTTTATAAAATCTTTATAAAATTTTTTCAAACATTTTTTTCAAATGTTCATAAACATAATATTGATTTAAACTTGATCATTGATATCGAAGATTTAATAAAATTTGGAATAATCTTCAAACATTATAAATTTAATGAATCTTATCAATTCATCTTATTAGATTTATTAATATTAAATTGAGGTTAAAAAATGATATTTTGGAATCTATTCGAATATTCATTATTGAAGGAAAAAAGAAAAAAAAAAGATTTCTATATTTTGGTATCCCAAAGCGAAGAGCAACCATAATTTCTGCTATTCAGTACGTTCTTCCCATTGGTTATTCCACATCTAGGTTATTCAAGACGTCGCCGTCTTTATTATCGGGTGCACTCGCGCGATCGCGTGATTTCGCTTTGACCGTGACTTGCACGCGTATGTTATCTACAATGTGTGACGAGAAATATTAATAAAGTTGGAATATTGGATATCTCGAAATTCTTTAAAACTTTAATTCTCTCAAATTTTCAAATTTTCCAATTTCGAAATTTTTATATTTTAACTCGATTTTTTTTGTAATTTGAAATGTGATACAATAATTTACGAATTTATAAAGTTTAAAGAATTTAGAATTTATTATGATTTTAAAATTTTCGTAATTTTGATATATTTTTTTTCTAAATATTATTATAATCAAAATTGTTATTTAAAAATATTTTATGTACACCCTATATATTAAATGTACATTCTAAATATTATATGTACACCCTACGTATATATTACGACCACGATAAAGTCAAGATTGATTGTTTTTCCTTAATTGTAATAGGCATCATTTCAGCAAATTATAGCATAGAAAGCATTATTTTAAGATGATTTAAGAGAAAGGACGAGCAATTTTGAAAAAGAGTATTAGTTGGATTTATAAGTAATTCTTACATTATAGTTATTTTATGCTATTAAATGTTCGTCATACACAAATTTCACGTATCATACAACATATTCTCTCTATGTGTTATAGATAACAAAAACTGACACACGTAAACCATCTGTGCGCAGATTGGGTCCTCCTAAGGAATTTATCAACATTTGCCTTGAAACGCACAATTTTTATCGCGCGAGGCATGGAGTGCCACCTCTTCGTCTCAACAAGCAGGTTACTTCCTTTTAATGATAATATTAAATAAACTTAACCAATATATATATTTAGCTGAATAAATGAAATATCGTTTAATGAAATGTGAGATTAAAAATTCATGTAAATTCATTATTAATTTTATTAAATTAAAAATTAAAATGATATAAAATGATATAAAATACATTAAAAAAAGTGAATATAATTCTTCGTTTTCAGTTATGTAAAACGAGTCAGGATTGGGCTAATATACTGGCAACTAGAGGTAGATTAGAGCATAGGGCAAATACAGATTACGGTGAAAATTTATATTGTATGTGGAGCTCTAATCCGAAGACTATTGTACACGGTGATGAGCCTGTAAACGAATGGTAAGTAATTAAAATTTTTTTTTTTTTAATTCAAAATGCACAAATAATTTGTAATTTATAAATTATTTATTTTAAACGTATATTACATCTATCCTATTTTATTATATATTTCTATAGGTATGCCGAAGAAGGGCAACATCAATACGGAAAAGAGCCAACCACTCTAAAAACTGGCCATTTTACTCAAGTTGTATGGAAAGACAGTACCGAGTTGGGTGTTGGAATGGCCAGAAATCGAAATGGTGAAGTATATGTCGTCTGTAATTATAATCCGGCTGGAAATTTCCTGGGCAGTTTCACGGAGAACGTTCTACCTCTCGGTGTGAAACCTATAAAAAAAACTTTGCTAGAAGCTCTGCCATATTACACATTAGACGAACAAGCATGGCAACAAGAGGCTTTAATCGTTCACAATGAATATAGGAGAAAACATCGTGTTTCAGATTTGAGGTTAAGCATAGAATTAACATCTGCTGCTAAGGTATATTTTTCATATAATAATTATAATAATCATTTATTTCTATTTCAAAAAAAAAAAAATCTATTTCACTTTCTAAATATCTTCACCAATCTTTATCAAAGAATTAGCAATTCAATCAACTATAATTTGTCTTGAGCACGATATGACTTAGCTAGTTTGCAATTGACCGTGCACGCTTGGGTTCAAGAGTAACGCTCGATTACAAATTTTTTTCCGCTATCTTCAGGCGTGGGCGAACACGTTACTGAACACGAACAAGCTGATTCCTCAGACGTCGTCCCCGTACGGAGAGAATATCTACTCGATGCAGTGTTCCGATCCAAAGGTGATCGTATCGCCGCGGGAAGTCGTTTCGAAGTGGTATGCCGAGAAGAAGGATCATAAATATGGCATAGAGCCAAAGGTTTTAAATACATGTATGTAACACAGTGTACAAAAACCTATTTACTAATTATCTTTAACGATAAGACTGTTAGAAGAAAAAGTAAAAATCTTGTGCTAAAAATAGTAAAAATATTAGCTATTCAATTTTTAATGAATTAAGCGTACTGCAATGAACTGCTATTAATAAAAATTATTAATTTATAATATTTTTATATTAAAGAAATAATAAAAATATATAATATATTTTTTTATGAACAATAAATTCTATGAGAAATTATATTATTTGATAATCCTTTGTTACCGTTTTAAAGATAAATGTTCGAGTTTTGTTAATTCAATTTATTTTTATTTGTGTTTTATTGTTTTTCAAAATCTTTTCAATTTCTTTCAAAAATTTTATTTTCTATTTATTTTTTAAAAATATGCAATGATAAATAAATTTATAAAAAAATTAAATAATAATATAATTATATAAAATAATTAAAATAATAATATATAATAATTTTTCTTTGTTTAGGCCATTTTACACAGATTGTCTGGAAAAATACAACCGAGATGGGTATAGCAATAGCCAAAAAGGATGGAACCTGCGTAGTAGTTGCGTGTTACCATCCGAGGGGTAACATTGTTGGACAATTCACGGAGAACGTGTTGAAGCCTATAAAGCTGTAGTTAGACGGATCTATCTACATTTGTCGATATTGTATTTAAACGCTGTATTTATAACTATCGTGCATAGCGAGAAGACAATATGCATAATATATGTAAATATAAGAACGCAGATGTGCATACACGTAGAATAAAAGAAAACATTCCACGTACTACGCGTAATCAAGATATTTCGTCTGTTTTATTAATTGTCGATATCGCAATTGCATTGTGTTGCAACTCTTAGTAATGATAATTAAAAAACGTGTATGTATGATGATAATGTTTGAGGATCGACTTTCTTTTTGAAAATATGATTAATTTTATTCTTATTTTGTAAAGGAAGATAAATTTTGACTTAAAGATTTTTTTTTTTTTATTTAAATGTAAAATTTTTTTACTAAGATAAAAATCTTTCTACAGGGCAGAAACACTCATTTGGTGCAATGATAGTTTCTTATTTCCTGACATAAATGCTTTTACTATTTTTATTGCTTTTTTTTTAAATAATTAAGTATAGATTTTTTGTTTGTTAAAACACCAGTAATCAAAAGATGGATTACTAATGAGATAATGATGCTAATTTCTTACTATAATTTCTTACAAATAAGTATAGCGTTAATAAAAAAAAAAAAATTGTCAGTGACTGACCGTTCCTTCACTATTTACCTCAAAACCATGAAGTGAGATACAATTGTAATTTTTCTGACAATACAACTACGGGTAGAATGTAGTATCGAATCTAGAATTCTTGTCATTTAAAAATACATATTCGTTATGTAATATTTTCTTTCTATTTTAAACAAAATAAATTATTCAAAAACTATTATATATTTAGTATTTATATCGACTAATTTAAAATATTTCGATTTTACAAATTGCCAGATAAATCTTAATACATATTTCCAAAATAGAAAAATACAGAATAAAAATTTTTAATACAAAGTTTTCAATCCATCTATTTCAATTAATGTATGTTAATGAAATAAATTGTACTGCTGAAGCATTAGAAGAGAAAAAAAGGTATTTCTGCTTTATAATAATTTATTTATAATAAATTTACATGCACGCGTTGTGTGACAATGTGTCACGTGTATATAGATACATTTTCTCTCTGTTTTTCTGCTCTTATTTATATTACATACAGCCGTTTGTAACTTCTTTTTTCATGTGGTCGAATATTAATTTTATATTCTTATATCGTGGAAGTAAATTCTCGACGATATTGAAAACACTAGTTCTTCGAGATTCGTCATGCTCTCATTTCCGATTTCGACTAAACGAAAATAATTTTCACCAGAATCTCGGTGCTCTGTAGATCGATCGGGAAGGGGAACATGTTTTACATGTTACAATTCCATATGAAATTTTGGAATGGAAATAGTTAGTTTTTTGTATTTTTCGACGATTTTATATAGTTCTATTTTTTTTTAATTAATTGACAAAATGACAATTTTATGTAATTTTTTTTTTTAATATACGTGAATAAATTGATAAATCGAATCAATGAAAATCGAAAGAAAATTCAAAAGGTTATTTTAAATTTTAATAGAATAGAAAGTATCGGATAAAAAAGGAAGAAAAAAATAAAACATTCAATTATTACTATTAATTTAACTTGTTGAATTTCTTGTAAAATTTTTTATGAATATTATTAACATTGAAAATCTCGAAGTAACATTCGTCAATTGAATTGAAAATCAATTTAAACCAATTATTTTTAAGCATACATTGCATTGTTTGTATAATTATGGTGATTAGTTTAACCTAAAATGATTATGATTTTCAATTAAAATGCAAGAAATTCAAAAAGATTTTTCTTTCTTCTGACAAAATACTAATCAGATTATGAAAATAAGAAAATATGACGTTTTGCGTTATATTGTATATGGAAAAAACGAGAGAAAATTTATATCATCTCGATATCGCAAGCTCGGCAGTTCACTTTACATAATTTTAACTTTCAGAACTCTTACGATAGACATAGAAATCTCAGAAGGAACTTGCGAAGAGGTTATCGATTTAAAGATTCACGTATCATCAAAATGTAAATAAAAATGGTTCCATTTTGTTTTTTCCTTTTTTCTTATGAAGACACAACAATATTTCTTTTTTTCTGATATATACTCACGTCTTAATATTATCGTAATATTAATCCATTGTTAACATAATAATATATTCGTTTGCACTTCTCTTTTTATCTTACATACACTAACCTTTATCTTTCAATTTTCCAATCTTTTTTTTTTTTTAAACTTTGTTTCTTCCTTTTCTTTTTTTTTTTTTTCTTTTTTCGTTTATTAATAGAAAATTTCCGCTCAAGATTATCATTATTCACGGTTCGTTGCTAATATTTATATAAATGTTAACAGAATCATGGACAATCGCTCTCTTATGTCAAACGTATCTAGGGTATTTCACATGCAGTCGAAAGCAGTTTTTTATACTTTCACATCGCTTTTTCAGATCGATAACGCATATTAATAATAGTTTGCGAACTACTCGTTCTCAGGTCACATTTATTTTTGATCGATCCTATGACAATTAATCTATGTACACTGTTCTTGTTTTAATATTTTCTATTCGATTTTTTTTTTCTTATTAAATATAATTCTTTCATAGTTTTTTGTTACTTTTATTGTTTTGTTTTTCGTTTTTATTTCAATCGTTGAATCAATAGAGAGATATAATAAGTAGAATCCTTTTAGTATCGAAAAATACAAGGCTAAATTTTGATAAATCTCATGTCAAATTCGTCAATATTTCCATTAATGTCCTCAAACTTTTAAAAGCTTACATTTCCATTCACTCAAATTTCACATTATATTTCTTTGGTTTTTATAATTGAACTTTTAACACATTCACTGCCAAATCAATTTTACAACAAATATAATTAAAAAATAAAATTATTTTTTTTTAATCTTAATATAATACTTATTTAAATTCCATTGAGAATTCAAACTATAATTTACGTACAATAATAACGGATTTTTTCATAGAAATATTCACAAACTCGAAAGTGGAGCCCTCTGACAAGTGTCAAGAATAATGAAAAATGATTTAATTAATTTTAATAATGGAATTCAAACAAGTATTATTGGATTCAAGAAATGTTTATTAATGATGATTTCCATGTGACATAAACAGAAAATTTTGTATTAATCATATATTCGACAATGAACGTGTTAATACCTAACATTTAATATCTCTCATATCATGTTTAGACTCGAAACATAATATAGAGATTTATAATATCAATCAAATAGACCATTTTTTCTCTTTGTGATTTTTATTTCATTGTTAGATTATAGAAAACCATCATTAATTATCTTTTGAAAAATACCACGGCTGCGTTTTTAAATATATGTACAAAATTCTACGAGCCAGTATCAATGAAGATGATCGGCGTTCATATACGAGGCAGGTTTTATTACGCTAATCAAATTGAGAAAGACAGAGAGTTAATGAGGAAGAGAAAGTTAAAAAAGCGGAAAACGGGGCCAGAGAAATATTCGAATAAGAGTTTAAAATTTTATCGTTATCGCGTTATCGACGGTGCGTTAAGGAAAATTCATTTCCATTCTCGGCTAAATAGTATAACATACATAAATTATAGAGATTGAAGATCGATTTGCTTCATTTTATATATTTTAATATTAATTCTAGATTGTTATTTTGGATCAATAATCTAAAATTTAATTTTAAGAAAAGTAATTTTTCAAATGTAATCTAAGTAATTTGAAAAATTTGTTTAAACATGATATCTCTTCGATATATTTGTTAGTTGACAAATTACGAATTTAATAATTTTGATGATTAAATTTAATAAATTTTCTTGTTATTTTTATAAAGTATTAAGTTAATGCATTGATACTTGTCTTTATCACGAATAAATTTCATTAATTTTTAAATTTTAATATCTCGAGGCATTTTGTTTGTCACCATCAAAAAACTATATAGTTTCATAATCAATAACTATATAATTGAAGCTGATCTGATCATTAATTGAATCATCAAACGCGTTTAGCGAAAGTAGCATCGAAGCAGATACTCGATAAGATGATGTTTGGTCAGAGAAACATGTAAAATTGGTCAAGAAATGATTGCAAATGCATGGAATCAAGAAATATACAGACATCATTTTTTATTTTCATTCCTACCAACGTCTACGTACGTATTCATCTAACTGATTAAACAGATTGTCGAAACTTTGCTTTCTCTTATTTCAACTTCCTCTTTCATAGTTAAGAACAAACGTTTAATTGAATATTATAAATTTGAAGGATTCTCATTAAAAGATTTCGAATTGTTTCGAATTAATCATAATAAGAGAAGAAAAAAATGTGTTTACATAAAAATCTTCGATAAAATATTTCATTTCACGTGGAATCGAGTTTTTAGGTTATAATCATTGATCGATTCTGAAATCTCGATTCGGTCATGTTGGTTTAAAATCATTTTCTTCTCTATACGTATAATGATCCTCCATCTATAAGTGATTTCTGTTACTCGCGTGATATGATTTAAAATGGTCATATATTTATATTTATAATCATAATTTATATGATATTATTTTTGTCATAAATTGGTTCTAGTATAAAATTATATTTTCAACCCTCGAATGTGATCCTACATAAGAATTGAGATTTTCACTAGGGAGACGATTCTCTCTCTTACCTATTGCTAGTTATCTCGAAAAGATGTGATGATGAACTTGGAAGAGATTTATTTTATATATTTATAATATAATTTTATATGTAATAAATATAAAACATATAAGCATAAGAATTATAATTAAAAATTTGATATTAATATATATTTATTTGCTTCATAATTGAAAGATTAATAATGAAATAAATTTTTATTTATTTTTATTTTTTTAAAATAAATGAATTATGAATTTAATTTAATTTAATTTTAATTTATTTGCAAACAATATAGTAATATTATGTATTTGAATAATTTCAGATTTAATTTTTTCTTATTCAATAAAATTTCTAATCATTGTATAAAATTAATCTCTTATCCATCATTACAAGTTTCTTTTCTCTACTGGTTCGATTTCTGGCACATGTTATTGCACGTTTGTGGATCTAGCATATATTTGTGGTCGACTACATCATTGAAAATTTCCATCGAATCCACGGAAGTCGAAATGCCAGAGCCGACTAGAGAGCAAAACGTTTTAAGAACATAGCTTACTACGCACACCATGATTTATATTAAATGAGTATTTTGAAATGAAACTTGCAACAAATTGTTGAAAATGTAAGATCATATTACATACAAATAGGGAATTATTATTAAAACAATATCTTAACTTCATTGAAACAACTATATGCTGGCTGAACTGGGCATTGTTTAAATGAACTTTCTAATCGAATTATTTCTATATATTCTTTATAATTGTTTTAATAATTATGTGATAACATCTGATAATATCTTTTTTGAATAATAGTATTATTATTTGGTCAGTTAAAATATTTTGTATATTTTGTGTATTTCACATTTTGAAATATAATTATCAATTTTTAGAAAGCTGTCAAAAATTATCATTGCTTTCTATTAGATATCAATAGTAAATAAGTATAAAGATAAATACTTTTAAAATAAAAAGATCGTTGAAATCAATGATCACTTATCATTTATCATTTATCAAATAAATTTTTTAATAAATAAAACCAATCACGACAATGGTCAGAAGAAACACAAAATCTGCCCAGCTCTGCTTAAGATATACAAAAATGAAAGATTATCAGCATACTGGTGTATCACAATTGCGACTCTACGATGTCGCGTTTAGGTCCCCGATGATTGCGACAAACC